CCAAGTGCTGGGATTACATGCCACCATGCCATCTCAATAGCCCTCTCAGCGGGTCCCGGGGGGCGGGGGACACTGGGGATCAAACCCCAGCTGCTGCACTCTGCCTAAGGCGCTTTATTCTGCTAAGCTATCTGGCCAGTCCTTCACAGGCATTTCCCTAGGGCAATAAAATGTGTTTTCAGACTGATCCATGAAAGTGTAGCAGGTTAACTTCTTGGCTTGCAAGCAGAATAAAATCTCAGATCCTTTACTCTTGATATGTTGTTTCTTATCTATTTACTTTCTATTTGCAATTTGATCTTGAATCCTTCTAGACCTTCTCTTTCATGTTATACTTATCCAAGTGACCTCAGTGATGGTCACTCTCAGCACACAACAAAATATCATTATTAAAATATTGTGATCCCTGTCTAGCTGCACATACCCTTTTTCACTTGCCTTCCAGAATTAGCCTCATAGTTGCTCCTTCTCAAGTTTCCTTTGCTGGTTCCTCCCTAGTCCGAAATATTCAGATGAATGTTTGAAATTCTCAGCAGTGTAACCTTGGATTGTGAGTAACTTGTTCTCCAAATGTTCTGCTAGATGAGCAAAAACTTCTAATAAATTTTACAATGATGTGATGTCTTGCAATACAAGCAATATGTGATGCCAAATGTCACATGATGACAACTGAGCCAATGGGTCTTCTCTTTCTCTCTCTGCCTCACGCTTCAGGACTGTGGGTCACCATCTCCCAACAAGAGGTTACCAGATCTTGTCTGGAAAGCAGAAAATAGTGGAAGAATCCCTCACTTCAAATGAGACTGGTGAGATGTTTAAAATGTGAGAAACTGTGTTACATTTTGTAGTAAACAGTAAACAGTAGAAAATTTTTGTAGAATAAGGTTGTAACAGTGTAAACAATAAATTTGTTTAATGACAATGAAATGTCACCTTTCCTCAAAATCCTCAAAAGGAGGCAAAAGCAAATATCACTGGATGAGTTCCTTGTTAAAGCTGTACAAAAAGGAAAAGAATGACTGAACGAATAGCAGTGATTCTGTTAGTGAAAGTGCAAACTGTCCTACACAATAACTCTCCTCTTGTCTCCCTTACACTAGCCACAGAGGTTTTTAAAGGCAAGGGCAAGTTAATTTAGTATTCTTTATATTTTGTATTTTTATTACATTAGAGTATTATAATCATTTTATATAAATGAATTTGGATTGTGGAACAAATCATCTGAGTTTCTAGTATTTTTATGAGGAAATCTGCTTTGACATACAAGTGCTTTGGATTACAGGCATGTTTCTGGAACAACTACTACACTCACAAACCAAGGTTCTACTGTACTTTCTTGTAGGTAATTTCATGGCTTACAATATTATCTGTGCAAGACTCCAAAATTATATTCTAACCCGAGTCTTGTGGAACCACCCAATCCTACATGCATAAGGGACACAAAAGCAATAGTAGGAGTCTTGTAGATGTCTGTTAGGGAAGCCCTCGTTACAGCTAGACAGCAAAATTGTGATAATTTGTTGACTGCTGCATGGCCTCTGGATATACTTCACTCCCTTTCTGTCCTTTTATACCAGCCATACTACATTGTCTCTACTTTTGGTGGGGTTCAGTCAACTGAAGCACTTGCACAAGACTGATAACAAAAAAAAAATTAAAAGGGCCAGCCAAATAGCTCAGCAGACTAAAGCACCTGCTTAGGCAGAACACAGTGGAAGGGGTTCCATCCCTGGCACACTGGCCCCACCCCCAGGGTGCACTGAGACAGCAACTGAGACTGCATGAGGTGGTGTGTGCCTGAAATCCCAGGACTTGAAAGGCTGAGAACAAGAGGATCACTACAAGTCCAATCTGTGTAGTGAGACCCTGTAGACCCTGCACTAAATACATTTTAAAAAAACTTGTAACAGCAGAAAGGTGAGGCTTTTCTTTCTTGTTTCCCACCCTGTTGCAGTTACTTCTATAGAAGGCGTGCTTCCCAAGAGCTGCACCATCACTTAACAGATTCACTTTTCAAGATTTCGGCTCTCAGCGGACCAGGGAGATAGCTCAATGGAATAAGTGCTTGCCTGGCAAGCATAAGGTCCTGAGTTCAATTCCTGGTACCACCAAAAAAAAAAAAAAAATTGCTCAGCAGACTAAAGCGCCTGCGAGCAGGTGCGGGGGCCAGGGTTTCAATACCCGGGACCTGCCATGCCAGCCCCGCCCCTGGGGCATACTGGGATGGCAATTGAGACTGGGTGTGGTGGCACGCTCCTGAAATCCCAGCTCTTGGGAGGCTGTGAACAGGAGGATCACTATGGGTCCGATCTAGTAGTGAGACCCTGAACACCCTGTAGACCTTTCCCTAAAATATAAAAAAAAAAAAAGATTTTGGCTTTCCATGGTTTCCTGAAAATTGCCTTCTCCCTTTGTTCCTAGAGAGATAACAGGTTCTTGATGCTGCTTCTCTCTGGAGCTTCATCATCCTTTGTTCTCTTAACCATTTCCTCATCTCTTCTTTCACAAGGATTATGTGTTAGTTCCATTTCCTCCTGGAACCTTCACTTATGCAGCTGATGAGTTAGTTTCAGAGTGTATAATACGAATTCTATTCTCTGGGCCCATAAAATCATATATATATACACACACACAAAGTTCTATATCTTTATTTTATAAAAATTGATATATTTTCTCTCTTACTAGACCTGGAAGAGCTTGTGCCTACATGTTGTTCTTTTCTGTGGAAAACCATTCAGCCATGGTATATTTTTACCATAATTTGTTCAATCATTCCCTTACTGATGATCATCTTTCTTTTTCCTTTTCCAGTCCTCACCAAAAAAAAAATACAATATACATAGATAATCATGAAATCTTAAGTACTAGGGGCTGGGGAGATGGCTCAGTAGAATAAGCACTTGCCTGGCAAAAGCAAGGGCCTGAGTTCAATCCCCAGTTCCGAAAAA